TTTTGTCATCTCCTCCCTCACTGTGCCCCCTTCCTTATCCAGATAATCCTTGCTAGGTGTCTGCTGCAGCTACATTTTTTTTTTGTGAAGACTGAGGCAAAGTAGCTGTTGAGTAGCTCTGCCATCTTTACATCTTCTGTTAGAAGTTTCTCTTGGCTTGTTAACAGAGGACAAACAGCTTTCTTGGCTCTTCTTTTCTGGCCAACATGCTTATGGAACCTCCTCCTGGTCTTTAACCTCCTTTGCCAGGTGCAGTTCATTCTTTATTTTTACCTCCCTGTTTTTGACCCTGCAGGTTCTGGCTATTTCCTAGTATACTTCCTTGGTAACCTGCCCATTCTTCCATTGTTTATATGCTTTCCTTTTGCCTTTGCCAATTTTTAGAAGCTCACTGTACAGCCACATTGGTCTCTTGTCATTCTCCTTATGCTTTCATTTTGTCCAGACAGTTTTTTGTTGGGCTTCCAATACTGTGCCCTTTAGAAGCTCCCAGCCCTCTTGGGTGACTTTATCCTTCAATATATCCATTCATGACACCCATGCCTATTAACTCCTTAAGTTGGATGAAATCTGACTTTTTAAAAAAATCTAGTATCCTAACATTGCTGATCTTATGCTTTCCTTGTTTCAGGATCTGGAATTCTATTGTAATGCGATTGCTTCCTCCCAGGTTACACATCACCTTCACATCCTCCACCACTTGGTCAGGACAAGATACAATATAGATGATCCCCTAGTTGTATCCTCCATTTTCTGGAACAGAAAGTTGTCTTTCACAGAAGTTTAGAACCAACCTGACAGTTTGTTTGGCTGCATTGTTCTTCCAGCAGACATCCAGAAAATCTAAGTCTCCCATAACTTTTTGGATAACCGTTTGTCACCTGCTTGAAGAATGCCTCATCCACCTCCTCCTCTTGATTTGGTGACCTATATTAAACCCCCAACAATTCAGTGCTGCATGTTTCACCTTTCATCTTCACCAAATGCATTCTACTTTGCTGTCTTCTTCCTCCTGAACCATGGAACAAATGAAGTTTTGACATGCAAGGCAACATCACCACCTTTTCTCCCAACCCTGTCTTTCTGAAACACAGTGTAACCCTAGATGTTGGCATTCCAGTCAGAAGAGCTGTCCCACCAGATCTCTGATGCCAATCAGATCAGAGTTCTTTTCACAGGTAGAGCTTACAGTTCATCTTGCTTATTCCACATTCTTCTCACATTTGTATACATGCATCAGATGCATTTTGCATTCTGACTTACTAGCTTCCATCTTATGCCACTTGTTTTAGTCCTCTAGCTTTCTAGTCCTTTTCCAGAGTTAAACTCCTTCTTTGAGTCCTTTTCCCTCTGGACTGCATGCTCTTTTGTTGGGGGGTTTGGATCACCATCCTCCCTGAAACCCAGTTTAAAATCCTCCAAACTAGATTGACTAGATCATGCCCAAAGATGCTTTTCCCCATTCTCATCAGATGGATCCCATCTCTTGATAGCAGTCCTCCACCCAAGAACATCCAGTGTCAAAGAAGCTGAAGCCTCCAAGTCAAAACCACTGTCTCATCCACATGTTCACTTCCAGGGTATGATGGTCTCTGCCTGGACCCTTGCCTTATTCATAGATTGTTAGGGGCTGGAAGGGACTTCACAAGATCATCAGGTCCAGCCCCCCTGCACTAGGCAGGAAAGACAGCTGGGGGTCAGGTGACCCCAGCAAGGTGACTGTCCAGTCTCCTCTTGATGATTTCCAGGGTAGGTGATTGCACCACCACTGGAGGGGGTTTGTTTCACAATCTAGACACCCTGACTGTGAGGGAGGTTTTCCTAGAATTGAATCTTCCATGGGAAGTATGGGAATGATCAGTGTCATTCCTGGCAACACTTATGCTGCCTACATGGACAGGCAGGAAGGTCCAAAGGATGGATGAACTTTGGTAGTCTTTCTGTGATGTCCTCAATTCAGGCTCAAGGCAGGCCACACACCTCCCAGGCTCCCAAATCTGGATAACAAATTATTGCCTCTGTCCATAACACAGGGAAAAATTAGGAAACCTTACAGGTCCTCTACTTACAGAACTACTTGAGAAGTGCTTCAATCCTCTAAGGGCACTTGAGTTAGAAGAAAAAGAAAACTTTGTTTTACCCCCAAAACAATTACAAGTACTAGCTTTAGAGACAGTGCACACTTTCTGGTGGTGACTGTGTTTATTTTGGTTTTTAAGGAAGATAGAAACAAATGAATACTAGATTGTGTAAATCTTACTACCTGGAATTACTTGGCTTGATGCTGCCTGAATGCTGTCAGCCCTACTGAGACCACACAGCTCAGATGATCTATCAAAAGTCTTCTGTCACTGAATAAGTACCCTGAACAATATGCACTTCTGTGCAGATTTTCAGTTGAACCCATAATGGAGCTGCGACAGTCTCCGAGGGCCCTAGCCTGTGTTACTTAAGTAGACAGAGGGCAGCATTATACAGCTGCAAACAGTTGCAGGCAGCTGGCTTAGAGAAAACTGCAAGGTGAATTAAGAGCAGAATTAAGAACTTCTGCTTTGGGTGGAGTGTCAGAGATCATGCAACAGGAAGTGAGCATGGCCCAGGGCTGTATAAGCCTGGCTCTTGGGCTGGAGACAGTAGTCTGGTACAGATTCCAGAGTATAAATTACTCTGTGGTGGAGTCTCACATAGCAATAAGGTCCTGAGTTTCCCGGTTTATGTCTGAGCCATGAGGAACGGGGTGGCTAGTAGAGTAGTGAGGAGACCAGTCGAAACACCTAGTCGGGGGGTACTGCAGGTTTGTTTAATTGACTTAGGACTGTTAAGGCCAGCAGGCTGTGAGAGAGAGGTCTGACCACAAGGATGGTGACTGAAAGTCCTAACCAAGGACTGTTACATGGAGGCAAGAGAGAGAGAGTGAATGAGTGAGTTCTGGCTGAAGACTTACAAAAGCAGCTAGTGAGACTCAGGACTTTGTGGGAACAGACTACCAGAGGCCAATAAAAGGGAGAGAAGCCCTAATTAGAAGCAGAGGTAAACGATCAGGCCAGAGCAAGGTGGCCTGATGGTAAGCCGGATGGAGTGAGGCACTTCACTCTGGTCTTCTGAGGATTGCCTCCCAGGCTTGGAAAACAAGGAGAGGCAGTACCCTGGTGAGAGCTGGAGTGAAAGACGGGATTGGTAAGGATTGGTGCCAAAGAGCACCACAGCTGCCTTCAGAGGTAGGGTCCAGTTATACAGAAGTGCCTTCCCTGTGGTAAAGATCACAGTTTAAAATGTTATGTTTTTTCATATCTGCTTAAAAACCATGTAAGTACTTGGTACTGATTAAATACACTGACGGCTGTACTGACATTCTCCTAGTCACCACTGTTTACTCTAAAACGGGTGTGCCAAGCATATGGCCCATAGGCTGCGTCTGGCCTGCTGAGCTACCAATGGGCTCTCAGAAGTTGGGCAGTGTGGCCTGCTGCAGAATTTAGGGCCATATGGCCCCACTGGCCATAGCCATTGGTGGTGAGCTTTGGGCACTTGCCTAGGAAATATAGGATTCAGGAACTTTAACCTCATTCTTCTAAGTCCACTGCCTAGCCAGTGAGCTATAGGCTATTTAAAAGTGGGACTCTCAGTATCTCCTGATGGAGTTGTTTCACCATGCGTAAAAACTTAAATATTTATTTGAATGGAGACTTGAGCATGGGTCTTTCAGATGCATGTCCTAACCACCAAGGTATTGGATGTTTTTATAGTTATTTTGTCTTTTATTGTAATCTCCTCTGAGCCTTTTTCTGGGAAGGGCATCATCTAAACCTGATAAAAAGTATATTCTGTGGTGGATAAGTTCTCTTTCCC